ATTTTTTTTTCCAAAAAAGGAACACCGTACAGTTTTAAAATTTGTGATGCATTGGTGTGATATATATATATATACTCATATATACATATACAGATATCATAAAAGAAAAAAAAATCCAAAATTTAGTTTCGTTTATTAGACTTAAAAGTTGACAATGGCTCTTTTCACCGTGTAAAATTTCCAAATTTTCTTAAATTCCATAAGCATCTGAAATTTTCCTAAGATAAATGAAATGTCAAATCCATTCTTGCTTTTCCGATTTGTTAAAGCTGTAATTTAAGGTCAAGATCCATTTGTTTACAAATTTAATCTTGAAAGGATGCCTTTTGGGACAAATGTAGAACTTTTGAATGGTATAGGACTGGTGATTTTTGGATTTATGGAACTTAAAAATACATACAATTTTGGTTTGAAAAAAAAAATTTGATTTGCGGGGTTAAATGATTTTTCTTGATCAAACGTCCAAATAACAAATGTTAAACTTCTTACCAAAAGTCGAATGCATTTAGAAATTTTGATTATCAAGATCAGAACCAACTTCTTCTCCTCTTGTCTTCCATTCGAATAGCCATTTTATATATATATATATATATATATATAAACCACAATTTTTCCAAATGTGTATTTGATATCTTGTTATTAGTTTGGTTACGAAAGGTACGTGAAAAAACTTTCCCCGAACGAATAAGATTTTCGGTTGGTCGTTTTGGGACAAAAGAAGCTGCATCATTTCTAAAATTGTTAATTTTGAAAATCGAATTCTAGTAAATTATTTTGGACAATTTGAGTACGACAATTTGGTGAGTGAAATCTTTTATAGAAAATATATCTTCGTACTTGAGTTTCGAACTACATGATTGAGTCATTTGATTTAGTCAAAAAAAAAAAGAGTAAATTTCGAGGACAAAATTTATTCTAAGGAGGGGAGGATGTGAGAACCCCGAAAAAAAAAAATATATATATTCATGCATATTTCACTTGCATTTTGATTCTTTAATAAATTCTAGCATTATTTCTACCTGTCTTTAAATAAGTGCGTAAAAACAATTTTTATGTGATAAATAATATAATTGTGCAAATATTAAGTTACTTGAATCTTGCTAAGTTAAATTAATATTTCATGATGTAGAGTATTTTATTGCTTTAATATTAGATTATTTGAATTTCAATAGCTAATTTTAAGTGTTAATAACGTTAGGTGTTAACGGGAATCTAGAGTTAAGACGCAATCGTATTAGGTTAAAACTCGTTATAACTATTCTTAGGATTTTGAATATCAATAATTTAATTTTTGCGGGACTAGTGTGCTAGTAGGCAATTGAGTTTCATTTGGGGTAAAATCTTGGAGTTAGTTACGAATGAGGAACCTAAGTGGAAGGTCGAATAAGATGTTAAAAGACCAAATTAGCCTTTCCTCCAATTTAAATTCACCATGCAGCCGGAACAATTCTTGAACAAACTCAATTTCAAACACTTCCAATTTTTGCCGGTTCCATTTTTCACTTCTCATTTCAGCACCTTCCATTTCTATTGCCGACTCAACTCCACTCAAAACACCTTAATATATACATTCCACTACCCACACACTCCACTATATCATTTACAATTTATCACAACACATTACTTCTATTATTCCCTGCTGCCGTGAGTTGAGAGTAGAGAGCAAGTGAGGAAGAGCCGAGCCTTTAGTTTTATGTCCTTTCTGTTCGTAAACTAGAGAGGGAAGAGAGAGACTTGTGGTTCATTCTTCCTTCCATCCGTAAGCTAGTGAAGAGGCTGAGGCTAAATTTCCTCCATTCTAGTCGCAAGCTAGAGTAAGAGAGAGAGAGAGAACTAGCGATTTGCAATTCCTGGACTGCCGAAGGGAGAAAATTATTTCTGCTGCTAGCCGTGTGTGTGTACTCCAAGCTGAGGTAATTTTTGGAACTAGACTAGTTGTTTAAGGGTAGATGATGTTGATTATAGGCTTGCATGTGGTGGTTGTGTGGTTAGATGATAGTTTAAGTCACAAAAAAATCTGATTGAGAAGGAATTGAAGTTGCCGAGAGCTTGAGCTGGAAATTTCAGTTTTAATTTGGTAATTTATGATCACCTGAGCTTAGTTGCGTGTTTAGCTAACTAGAAACTAGATGTGTATTTAACTAATTAAAAACAGGATGATCAAGCTTTGCATGAGGTTAATTAACCTTGATTAAGCAAGAAAATTAAAGGAATACAAAATCTGGTTGCATGCATGTTAACCGAGAGAATTTGGATGAATTTCTGGCAAGATGGTGACTTTTGATGACATTCGAACCTGATTTTGGATTCAATCTGATAGATAGCTCGTTATTTGGTGTTGCATGTGAACTTTATGGCCAGAAATTCGGTTGTATGGCTGGAAATTTTTATTGGAAGTTGTTTGACTGCTAAACCAATTTTCCAGCTTAGCCGATGGAGTTATTTTGGGAGTTGTATGGATATTTTGGTATGAAATTTGCTGGAAAGTATTTGATTCTCACTTGGTTGTGTGTTTAGCTAATTAAACACTGGATGATTAAGCCCTGCATGAGTTGATTTAGCTGTGTGTAAGTCAGAAAATTGAAGGAAAATAAAATCTGCTTGCATGCAAGCTAACCAAGTAGGATCGAATAAATTTCTGGTTGGGTGGTATCTTGTGATGTTGTTTGAACTTAATTTTGGATCAACACTGATAAATAGCTACCCATTTTGATCATGCATGAAGCTGATGTGAGTCGTGGATAAAAAAAAAAAGAGAAAAGAAATCTGGAATTTGCGGCCGAGAGAGAGTGAAGGCTGTAACTTTCTTGTTAATTTCGAAAACTCCATGATAATTGGCTCTAATCCTAAGTAAGACGTCTTATAACATCTTGTTCTAGTTTTCATGGTTATTTTATTGATTTTAACACTTGAAAAGCTGGTGAATTGGAGCATGAACTAAAGCAATTATTGAAGGAAAATATTTTTCCAGCATGGCCGAGAGAAAGGAGTTGAGCACTTGACTAGTTTTCCTTCGAATTTTAGCTAAGATTCTTGTATTGGATGTTTAAGACTAGTTTGTGGCTTACTAATCACCTTTTGCATGTTGAGTTGAAATAAAACTTGAAGAAAATTATGGACAAAGCTCTATAATTAAACTGTTATATTGCTGGATATTGTTCAAGGTTGCTGGCCGATTTGGTTGGGACTTTTGGTGAGTTGATTTGCTGGATTTGTGTATTATTTACTTTAGCTTGGTTTGGACAGATTATAAGCTATACGTTTAGTGTTTCTAGCAAGTAAAAGTTGGAGATCTAATGGACATCTTGGATTGAAATTTGCTGGAATTTTCTTGACTATCGAAACAAGAAAAGAAAATCTGAATTTTAGAATTATTTGTGGGTCAAGTTGGCTGTGGTTTTTCTTCTTGTTTTGGATTGAAATCCTGGTTGAATTGTGATTGAAAGTAATTGTTTGATGTCAAGAGCTAATGATTGATGAAGCTCTTGGCCATTTGAGTAATTTTTGCAAGAGTTTAAATTTTTGGGGAATTTGTTCAAGTGGGTGGCTGAAATGTACTTGGAAGGTCCATGGGTTGTGATTTGGGTTTGTTTTGATACCTTGGACTTTCTTTGTTGAATTTGGTTTGGAACTGAATCTGTTGAGACCTAGGGCTAATGATTGATGAAGCCCTAGTGAAATTGATGTTGAATTGTGATTTGGCTATTTTGGCAACTGGGAATACAACGTGCAAATGATTTGAAATCGTGAAGTCCGTTTTAGTCTCTTGAATTCAAGTACTTTTAAACCAAGCCTTATGGGTATATTTTGTATTAATATCAGGTTATATATATATATATATTGAGTATAGTATGTTAATATTAAAATTTAGATAAAGAGATTTTTAAAACCTTGCCGACTAGTTAATTCTTTTCTTTTGCTACTTTTACTAGTTTTAATCTTAAGTGGATTGTCGAATTATTTCGAGAAAATAAACTATTTATATACTAGAGAATCTTTTATATTTATAAACCTAGAACTTGAATAGAAAACTTATAGTTCTTAAAACTTGGTTTTCTAGGATTTAGCGAGGACGCGGATTTTGATTCCCAGCTTGACTTGTGACTTCACTCTTGGTGAGTGTCCCTGCTTGTTTTATGACTATTTGGTTACAGTGCTTTCTTGACTCGATATATGATAATTGCAAAGTGATTTTTGATCCATCGAAGTGAGCAGTGTGTACTTTATCACACTAGCCGTTCGAGTGGTGACTTGTGTGAAATGTTTTCGTGAATATCTCAAATGTTGTGACGTCGTTGGGTAAATCTCTCGACTAGTTGTGACGTCGTTGGGTGAATCCCTCGACTAGTTTATCCAAAGGGTATACTCGAGTATTACCGCTTTCTTATTTGGTGTGCGGGCCCGGGACAGGGGTATGATTGGTGTCGGAGTTAAGAAAAAGAAAAAGATCTACATGGACCGTAAGTAGTGAGAGTTGACGGAGTGTCGACTACGGTAAATTTTGATCAAGCGTGGAAAATGGCGCCTGAGAGCCCCTGTATCCTACCTTGTGCTGTTATACGCTTTCCTATTTGTTTACTTCAGTTGAAATCAATACGTGTTATTTGTTTTATTTGATTGCATGTTTTGGGGCACCACTGAACTTTAGCTCACCCCACGTTTATTTGTTTTCCTTGACAGGTCTTGACGTTTGAGAAATCTGAGCCTACTTATATTTGCTTATGAATGTATTTGAACCTTGTGACTTTGATTTGCAGTTCGTAAAGTAATTCGAATAAAACAATGTACTTTTGTCTTGGGTTACCACTTGAAGCTGGAAAATTGTAAACCCTAATTTTTTTTTTGTGAGAACCCTGAAAATGTATATATAAATATCAGTGCATATTTCATTTTGCATTTGTAATTCCTTAATAAATTTTAGCATTAAATCTAATTTTTTTTTTCAATGTTACAATATTATTAAAATAATATAGGCAAAAACATAATGTTTTGTGGGCAGTTCATACCCTAACAAAAGGAATCCCTAGGGTATCCAAGCGTATGAGATGCCGAATCCTTCGTGGAAGTAAGTCCTCACCAGTGTAAACTTGGTCGTGTCCCAGCTGCAAAGAAGCTAGAGCATCTGCTACCATATTAGCTTGCCGAGAGATGTGACAGAGCGACGCCCCCAGTTCCGTCAATAAGCCCCGTATCTTCCTCACAACATTACACACCGGCCAGCGTACCACAGCTCCCGAATTGACCATCCGAACGAGCGCACTAGAGTCACTCTCTGCCCTGACTGCGGTCAGTTGTCTGTCATGACATAAGGCTAACCCAGTCAGCACTGCTAGTCCCTCCGCCTGATCCACCCCAACCTCCCCAAACTCCTTATAAAACGCAAAAATCACCAAGCCCTCGCTCGTTCGGACAACGCCACCCCCGAACGCCCCAGATTGGCCAACCCGGGCATCTGTGTTCAGCTTCAGGTATGGGGCGGGGGGCTTGGCCCACGCCACGAGAGACGGTCGCTTCACCGCCCTCGTTCCGTGAGACCCCCTAGCCCAAATACAATCACTATCTCCTCGAAATGCCCGCCCCAATTTTGATATTTGGCTCGTATGTAAATATTTGCGCCGTATGAATATATACTTTTGAAGTTGTTTGAATTTACTACTTGGTTGTAACGCATGAGGTATTTAAGAGCCGTCGATTGGCTATCTTCAATTGCTGTTATCTCTGAAGTTACTGTGGTTTTAGCAATTGATCTATTTTTGGGAGATCGTTATTGTAATAGTTAGGTTAATCTTCGGAAGGATTTGGGTGAGATTGTTTGCGTGAGTCCTGGCGAGAGTTAGGCAGACGGCCCGCCAACCCTCTGGTTCGTCTTAGGGGGAAGTGGGGTCGCCACAGTTTGGTTCTTAATATGTTTTATACTCAAATGGCCAGAGCTTGAGCTAAGAACCATGCACTCAGAGAAGAAAGCAAAAGAATTCAGTTAGAGTGCAATTCCTCAAGTCATAGGCAATTGGGCTGGCCGAATAACTTTGAAGCAAAAAAAACAACCGATTCAACATGTTTAAAGTAAATTATTAGTGGTGATGCTCAAGATATTATCTACCAATGTAGACTTATAGATTTTTCTGATGTGGGATACGGGGTGTGACAACTACACCAAGATCCAACCCATATGATAATTCGATGTGGCCACTCAGTTGTGTAGAACTCTAAAGGTGGCTTCCATCATTAGATTGACATAGCGTTTAGTCCATACAGTTCTTAACTCACACTCTCTTTATGTAGTTATTAGTCTAGTTTCATCCTATATAAAGGTTACACGAGATTCACTCTAATATCAGCTAAAATACTGTGGATCTTGGGCTAATCCATTAACTTTTGAGCAGAAACAATGGGTTCAAATTCCCTGAGCCAAATTATTTCTGTTCTATCTCTCAAAATATAATCTATCAATACATTTCCATACTTTCTTAGTGTAGGACATGGAGTGTGACATGAAGAATACGTTAACAATGGATAGAATAATGAATCCTAGTTATCCAACTTATGAGTGTCTAATTAGTAGGCATCATCATGATAGGTAACTAATTTTGCATCCCTTGCTCATTGAACATGCTCCGTCTCATTGAACATGCTCTGTTAAGGGAAAAGATGAATTTAAATCTACTTCTTTATTAAGAAATGCATTTTGACAATGTAACATATTAATTTGTCAATAATTCTAATAATATGATTTTGTTAAATGTATTATTAGTATAACAAGAACGCTCAGTTTATTTCATGGCCAGCCGACATCGAATGCGATACACCGGCGACCAATTTCCTTTATGTAGGAACAAAAGAAGCAAAATAACAAGTTGACATGTTTGTCATACTTTTCTTCTGAACCAAGCACAAAATATTATTAATTCTCTATATGGATTTTATTGATTCATTGTTGTTTCTTTTTTTTCGAGGTTTGACATGCATCTATAAGTTTTGATTTTTTTTTGTTCCTTTTCTTTGTTTTGCCAAAATCCCTTTTACAGGGGTTCGGATTTTGACCTTTTTTTTTATTAAAATTTATTTATTTTTATTCCAAGGCCATAGATGAGGAGTACTACTCCCTTACAACATATCTTCTAATCTGATGAATAAACGCAACTCCTAACCTATCTAGGTGAAATACTCCTCTCGCTAACTGGGGTAAGGCTGAAGCTTCCAAGTAGATCTCTTCCCGGTCATACCGACAACCTTCATTGGCCAATATATCTGCAACCTGGTTAGCTTGACGATAACAGTGATGAACCTGTGAAAAATGAGACACCAAACCAACCAACTGTTGTACCTCCTTATAAATACTTCATGGGCAACGAGATGTCCGATTTAGAATTTGCACTAACACCAAGGAATCCAGTTCAACATCAAATGCATCAAAATCCCGCTGAAGGCATAAACCCCAAAAAGCAGAGCCCGGGCCTCAGCCGGCATACTCGAAGCTATACCCAAATTACACGAAAACGCTAGGATCAGCCTACCACTTGCCTCCCAAAGCACCCCCCCACCACCACTCACCCCAGGGTTACCCTTGGAGCACCCGTCCATGTTGAGTTTTAGGCCTTCATGTGAGGGCCGTACCCATTTAACCAACATGTGAGATACTGCCGTATTCCAGCTCGAGATCTCCAGATAAAATTGTATCCAAGATATCGACAAAACTCGGCATTCCGGGAACTGTACCCTAAACAACTCCAAAAGATCGATAAAAATACAATAACATAGCTGGACCCCTTCGATCATCTTGATGTCATATTTCATGCCATTCCGAGCCTTCCATATATGCCAGCAAATCAACAAGGGGGTAACCTGATGGATAAACTCTAGAAACTTATTTCCTTGCTTCCCTTGCCACCAGGCCGCCATACAGACTCCTAAATGCTCTGGTCTCCAAATCATCAGGTCAGGAAGCGGCTCGGTAGGTGGATCGACTCGAACAATCTCAGCAACTATCTCCGAAGGTACCCATTGTGAAATATTTCGGACATCCCAGGTAGCATGTTGCACAAAGTCCACAACCTTATGGTCGGATACACTATCAAAACGGTCTGACAATCCTCCTGAACCAAGCCAATTGTCGAACCAAAAATTAGAGCTCTCGGATCGAACTATCCATCTGATATGCCTCTCAACAATATTCTGCAACTTCACCATCCATCTCCATACCTCTGAACCTTTATCACCAAAGACCAGATTCGGGTGCACCTCCGGACAAAACTTAGCCTGTATAAAATCCGCCCACAGGGATGTATTAGCCCGAAGATCCCACCACAACTTGATTGAGAAAGCTGTATAGACATCCTCCAATTGGTGCAAGCCAACCCCCTTCTTCATGCGACACACACAAATCCTTCCACCGAATCCAATGGCACTTGGGACCCCCCTCTGTAGCTCCCCAAAGAAAATTAGCAAACATGCCCTCGAGCTCCTGGAAAATAGATTTGGGAGGAGATGCTGCCATTAACAGATAAATAGGCATAGATGAGAGGACATGTTTCAACAACACTATCTTCCCTCTCTAAGACAGCACCCTATTCTTCCAGGACTAAAGGCGAAGTAGGACTGCTTGACACAAGCCCCTAAAGTAGTCTTTCTTCCGTCACCCACAATAAAAGGGGTACCCTAGATATTTAATCGGGAAAGGCTTATACATGAAACCAGTTAACCTTTGAATGGTCATCTTCTTGGAGGGGCATACCTTTGGGTGCACCAAAAAACAACTTTTCCCCGCATTGATCCTTTGCCCAGAAACTGCCTCATAGGTTGTCAAAACCCGCTTCAATAGCTTTAAAGATTTCACATTCGCACTAGAGAAAACAAGCACATCATTGGCATATCCTAAGTGAGTCACTAGCGGACAACCCCTTTTAACGAAAAATCCCTGAAACCCTCGATAGCATGGCAAACTATTTAGTGACCTCGACAACACCTCGACCCCAATGATAAACAATGCTGGGGAGAGCGGATCCCCTTGGCGCAGCCCCCCTGCTGGCTTAAAGAAGCCAAACAAAGACCTATTGACAACCACTGAAAACCAGACATTCACAATGAGCCGCCAAACCATATCAATCCACTGCTCTCCAAACTCAAAAGCCCTAAGCACATTGAGCAAAAAAGGCCATACTACCCGATCATAAGCTTTCATCATGTTCAGCTTCAGTGCCACATTCCCTCCCCTTGCTTTGCTACCCATATTGGAAATCAATTCCTGAGCTAACAAATAATTATTCGAGATTAACCGCCCCCGGACGAAACCACTTTGATTCGTGGAAATTATCTTGGGAAGGATAGCCGCAAGCCGAGCCGGCAGAATCTTAGAAAAAATCTTGTTCTCAAAATTACACAAACTAATCAGACGAAACTCAAAAAAACTCTTTGGACGCGCTACCTTGGCAATAAATCTATAGAGGTAGCAGTTACCCGCCGCGGCAGCTCTTCTCCACAGAAAAAACTTTGCACAGCTCTATGGACATCCCTGCCAATTATATCCCAGGAGGAGGTAAAGAATTTGCCAGTGAACCCATCTGGACCAGCGACACTATCCCCGTCCATCGCAAAGACCACTTGCCGAACTTCATCGAAGGATGGAATATTCTGTAAATGCTCATTGTTTTTCTCCGACAATAATTTTAGTATGACCTCAAGCACCTCTGAATTTGCTGGAGCCTCCTCCATTGAAAAAAGAGAAGAGAAATACTTGACTGCTTCAGCCCCGATACACGCATCCTCAGTCACCCACTCTTGATTGGAGTGTTGTACCCCATGAATCACTGCTTGCATGCACCATTGCTTCACCACCGAGTGGAAAAATTTTGTGTTCCTATCCCCCAACTACAGCCATTTGACTCTAGACCGTTGCTTCCATAGGGCTTCCTCCATGGCTAATGCACGACTAAGCCGAGCTTGGGCCTGATGTAACCGCAGTTGATTATTATCAGATCCCTCTCCTGCCATACATTGGTCCAAGCTAGCCACTTCTGCCTCCGCCTTCCTAACATTGTCAGAGAAATTCCCAACTCTTTCTTTATTCCACACTTGAATACTCCTCCTTAAGCATTGCAGCTTCGAACAAAGGATGTGCAACGGCGGCCCCACACACTCCTGCCCCCAAGACTGCTTCACCACCCGAAGAATTCCTCGTGGTCAGCCCAAGTATTAATGAACCTAAAACACCGAGGTTTGCCATCCAACCGGGTAGACACCGCCATAAGCAACGGGGCATGATCCGATGGATGTCGCGCCAAATGAGAAACCGTGACAGATAAATGTAAATCTAAACATGCCTCATTCAGCAAGAAACGATCCAACCGCTTCCAAATTCTCGCTCTACTGTGGCGATTATTACATCAAGTAAAGTTCGACCCAGAGAAACCCCTATCAAACAAACCCGCAGAACCTATAAAATAAAAAAAATCACTAGCTTTAGCAACCCGAAAAGACCTCCCTATGACAGCCCCATCTCCCCCTAAGGCGAGCCAAAGGGTTCGGCGGACCGCCTGCCCAACTCTCGCCGGGACTACAGATCCGAAACATACATAAACCCTACAACACGCTAAAAGGACTTCAAGAAATCAAAATTTTGGCAACCAAATTAGCTAAACTAAAAGATACAATAGAACTTTGATATAACGTTCCAACGAAAATTGAAAACGAAACAAATGCACTGAGGCCACGTCACAATCCGGCCAAGATCTGGCTGGCTTGCTGGCCGGATTCGAGGCAGTGGCAAAACCAAAAATTTTCAAATCTCCCTTGCCAATCCGGCCAATAACTGGCCCGATATGCGGCCAGATTCGATGAACAATTTTTTCGCCAAAAACTTTCTTTCTTCGTTCAAATACCGCACTTGCCCGATCTTGCCAACAGGTTCAAATAAAGTTTAAACAACCATAAAGACATGTATTAATCGAGAGATAAACATAGTTATGTACTTGCCAAAATATATACATTGGTGTCTTCAACGATTTACTTGAAGTATATGTCAAAATATCCGTACTTATACAAAATCCATTTAGGGTTTTGGTTACAGAGGAGCTTAACGAAAGAACGTTTACACTAGCTCGACCCTTTCTTCCAAAATCATGATTTCAAAGCTGGTCCCCTGTAAGGAAAACAAAGATAACGGGAAGGGGGTGAGCTTACGCTCAATGAGGTACCAGAAGTACAAGCAGTAAAGAATCATGTTACTCTATTTTCATCAATCATATACCCACATTAGATAGAACAGAAAACAGTTAAATACAGTGATTCAAATCGAAAGGATACAGGTGGCTCTCAGGAGCCAAATTCCCATTTGCTTCACCAGATTTTGATCAAACAGCAGTTGACACTCTGTCAACTTTCAAATAAAGTAACCAGTCCAATAGAGCACCACTTTACGCCAAATTTCATCCACCAAACATTCCCCTTACCGGGCTCGAACACCTTAACAGTAACAGTGGGTGGTAATACTCAAGTATACCAAAAATCCAGAGTCTCCAATACCTAAAGATTTCCCAGAAACAGATTACCGTGGTTCGTTATCTAATTGACCAGACCCTTACTGGCTCGACTCGAGTAACTAGCCACAGGTTTTTGAGCTCAAAAGTCACAGAAGGATCGTTGGATACAAACCTCCAAACGACATCAAAACAGATACAGATAACAGAGTCAAACGTGTACCGGAACCAGAACAGACAGACGAAAGAGACGAGTGTGATAAAGTACACCCTCGTTTCATATAGAGTATACAGAAGTCACAGATAATCAGGTTGCAAATTGCAAGTACAGATAAATCAGATAAGCACCAATTTAAGGGAGTGGTACACTCACCAGTTTAAACTAACAATTTCAAACGGTTCCACCCGAAGTACTTGGATCATCGGCGCGTCCTAAACCACCAAGGTAAAACATTTGAGACTCGATTACGAGTCATATGCCTAACCAAGTAAATTACCAATACAACACAAAAGTATAGTTTTGGAGTGAAAAGGTAGTAATTGGTCCTAAAAACATGAAAGATCTAAAAACTCTTCGCTTCTGCCCAAAACCATACCTACAATGATTTACTAACTCCAAACTTAAGGTGGAAAATGAGAGTAAGGACAATTTTAGGAAAACAGGATTTTCCAGTTTTGCGCACCACCATTTGAAAAATCATATCTCAAGATTCTTAAGTCCAAAATTGATAAAATTTATACTATCGGAAAATAGACTCAAAGGAGTACAATTTCTCAGAAGACACATTTACAAGATTCAGATCAAAAGTCAGTCAAATTCAAACCTCAAAATGTTGTTTTATCCCGTAAAAGACAGAACAGGTATGCAATTTCAGTCAACTTTGAAAAATCACCATAAATCGTACAGACAGAAACAGGGTCTGAAATTTTCCAGGTTTATAGCTCTATGAATATAGTTTAAAACAAAATAAACGGAACTCAATTCCGATTTTTCTACCAGAAGATATAGCAAATTTTCCAAAACTGCTCAAGGGTTCCTGCAAAAAATTCAGCAGCACTTCCCTTGTTTTTCTTTACTTTTCCAACCTAACATCAACATCCAATCTCATCTCATTTCAGCCACAATTTCCCATATAAATCACAAGCTATTGAACACACCTAATTAGGGTCACAATACCCTTCAAATACAACCAAATGGTGGCTCAAATTAGAAACCCTAAAGATGGGATTTTTGCACCCAAGTTGGAAATTTCTTTAGGCATGTCCATCTAGCACATAATACACTAATATGCAATTATTAGAAGTAAAGAGGGATTTTCCAGGCAAAGTACCTTGAATCCTCAAGAAAGATGGTGGCTTAGAGTTTATTCTTCCAAAATAATTCCACCAACTCCTTCCAACTTCCTTAGAGAGCACTCGTATGGAGTAGTTTGCAAAACTAACGGTTGAAACTCAAGATTTAGACAAGAAAGGATGGTACAAGATGAAGCGCTCTTTCTCTCTTATTTTTTCTCTTAACAGCCGGCCAAGACAATGAAAAATGAAGAAAATTGGAGTCAAAATTAGTTTTAGTAAAGTGAAGAAAATTGGATCAAAGTCCAACTTCCAATGGGGTAGTGACACTTGGCCTTTCTAGTGTATTCTCTAATCCTTTTGTCTTCCAATGGTTACATCGTATAACAAACCTCTAATAATCCTCTAGCACCTTGTATAATAATATCCCTTTATGCAAAACTTTACCTATTCGTCAAAAATTTATCACACTTTAAACTTAACATGAACTAACTTATTCTAGAAAAATGATTTAAAAAACTACACTTATAAAGTAAAGTAAAGAAAATACATGCAAAAAATAAAATAAAAAATATAAACTAAGGAAATTTTACGGGTCCTCACACTCTCTCCTCATTAAAAGAATTTCGTCCTCAAAATTTCTCACTTTTGCGCTCACAAAACTCGATGCTACAGTGATTTCTTCTATCTTACAAGAGCTTCTCCTCATTCATGCCCTAATCAAGTCAGGATAGTTCTCGAAGGTCACTCAGGCACTAAAGATCACTCTAATCGAAATTCAAAATATACCCGAGATCTCCCATCCCATCACACTAACAAGTTAATACAAGTGCTTCTTTTGCCTCGAGTCCTGTGGAGAGGAAATAAATATTTTAAGGTGAGCTAAAAGCTCAATGAGTATCCAGAAAACTCAATAATCAAATAAGTTTCGCAATAGTGCATTTAGCTGGTGTCATGAATCAATAATCAAATGTACATTTATTGCTCTTGTGAGCCAGGGAAATCATGGTACTTAAACAGGCAACTCTCCAATAAATTCCAGTATCAGTCAAGCGGTAAAATGAGCCATCGATGCTCCCATATTCAAGTCAATTGTCATTAAAATGGAGACATTGGTTTTAAGCACAAGATTTCCAAGCACTCATTTGAGCCAAATCATTGCATGGCACACACACAAGAAAATAGTACAGGAAATAGTTCGAAAATAAATTTGAAAATAATTTTGGAATCATTTACCAACCACAGCTCATGATCCTCATCCATCATAGATAGTTTCCTAGCTCTAGTCCAATTCCCTCGATCACAAATATCATATCAAGCAAAGGAAATCTAAAATCATCAAGTTCCTCTCACCTTTTTACATTTCCTATTACAACTCAAGCTACACCTCTCGGATTGAAAGAAATCTTATAGCGTTTCGAATCTAAGACATAGGCCTACACTACTTGGTCCCTTCTCTCGA